GAGAGATAGATGCTGCTGTATATAACAATAAGTTCCAATATCGAAAATACGATTGGGGACGCGCCACTGCGAGTATTTGAGTCGCGCTGCATTTTGTGTCGTCGACGTCGGAGTCGCTTCGTCGTCGTCGTCGTCGTCGTTGTCGTGCGCAATAGTCACAGCAAGTGAATGTATAAAAGAAAAATAAAGAGAGAAGTAAAAAAAAGGATATTATCGATGTATTTCCGAGAAATTTGCTTACGAAGCGCAAGCCACGGGAATGAGTATATGGTACCGAGGGAGGGAGAATAAGTGGGAGCCCGAGTCGCGAAGCCGAAGGAGAATTTCTGAAAGAACGAGATGAGTGGCACACGAGTCAGCACAAAATCGTCGAAGCCAACGACGATCGATTTCTTCTCTGCCTCTTCTTTTTCTCTCTCTCTCTCTTCTTCTTTCTATATTATATACGCCTTTTCTTGTCGTCGCCCGTTGCTACTGCCTGTGCTGGATATGCGTGCTGCTGCACGCGGCAGTAACAGCAGCAGCAGCAGCCTAGTAGTCGAGGTCCTCCATCAATTTCTTTACCCATAATGTAAGGTCGATCAGCAGTGGAAAGAAACGCCTTCAGCCGTGCGTGCATTATAATACGCGCGAATAGCGAGAGATCCCCTCCTACACATATACACACATCTATCAGCGCTACACCCTGTACATGATAGATGCAATACGCGTGGCTCGGGTGTATGGATTCGTCTTATTCTTTCTCTTTCTCTCTTTTTCTGAATATATATACGTTTCCCGAATACGTCGGATGTAATATACATTTTTCTGTCTGACTATTATATACATCGACGAGCGGAGGCTCGTGTGCTGCGGCGGGTGATTCGTGACGGCGCATATTATCGGCGAATATATTTATACGGAGAGCTCGAGCCTCGCGAAACTTAATGGCGTATACGAGCGCGTCATCGCTTCTCCGAACGTCTTGCAGCCAGTGGATGATGTATATATAGCAGCATACACAGCTTATAAACTCGATGCGTGTAAAAGCGCGTTTCTTTGTATCGGCGCGATTTTAATTTCGTTCAATTATCGCGGAACACATCGCCGTAACGAACGGCCAATTGACGTTTCTTTCTCCCCCTCGATTTTATCCAGACTGCTGTTGCTGCTCCTCGTACATAAAGTATGCTTCGTTTGCTGCAGCAGCAGACTGTCTTTTTTCCGCGCGCGCAAATTCGATACTTGTGTCTGGCTATATGGCTGCTGCTGCAGACTCTACTCGTGAGGATTTATTATTTTTAAATCCTCACGCTTAAACAGCCGTTAATTTGCTCCATCGAATATGGGCGATATAGCTAATATAATACCACGGCGCACATGCACTTTTGGCTCTGTCGCTGCTGTTGTTATGCTATTGTTGTTGTTGTTGTTGTTGTTATTGTTGCTGCTGCTGCTGCATGTATAAATGTATTATCCCAAGAGAGATTAAGCTCGTATTTCTGCTGCTACTGTGGCGCTTCGTCGTGTATACAACTACATTCGCGCGCGCCCATATGGCATATTTTTATTCCGCCTCTCTCTCTCTCTCTCCCTTCCTCTCCCGACCCTTAATTAGCGTCTCAATTTATACCGATCGAATATTGGCTCTGCAGCGTCGCTTCTGCTGCTCCTACTTCGCTTTACGCTAGAAAGCGCGAAAATTATGGATTCCGCCGGATTACTAACGTTAATCCTTATACTCTGTTGGATTCGATGTATATAATGTGTGTATGTACATATAATATATGCCATAAATAAGATTTACGTCGCGGATTTGTTTGTGTATGTGTGCGTGTGAATCGACGATGTCGCACACGTATACAGTGCTTATAACATCGCAGACGGGAGTAATCTCTTTTCTTCCGCTTGGCCAGAGTTGTCGATGTTCGTCCCTACGGGGTCCGTACCATCGCAGCGACGTGCCGTAGTTGAAAAACACAGCCGAGCACTATATACAAAGGTACAACTACACGCGCAAGGCCTAAAAGCAAGGCAGTACTACCAGGCCAGTATTATCTCAACTCCAAGATCGAACTTCTCCGACGAGGCGAGGCGAGCCGAGCCGAGCGCCGTGTCCTGCATGAGCAGAAGAGCAGCTACAGCTCCTATCCGCGTTCCTATCCTTTATATAGTGTGCGTTCGACCGTTTGTTACATCTTTCTCGTTTGCTGCCGGTACAGTGTTGTACTCGTACTCGCGTACGTGCACTATAATACGATACATATATAGAACGCGACAATGGGGGCTTTTGCGGAAAAACAGTTAGGCGTATAGGTACGGTACGGTCGCTGCCGGAGTATATATTTTTCCCTTACTCTCTCTCTCTTCTTCCTTTCGACTCTTTTTCCTGGCCTGCGCGCGAGAACACGATCCAAAGAAAAACTCCCTATTCTCTGCGGTGTGATTACTTATATATACGCGAGGGTAGCTAGTATGTGTGTGTGTGCGTGTGTGCGTGTGTGTGGACGTGACCAACGGAAACTAGCCCTCCGGACGCTCCGAGGAAAAGAATAGAGCTGTGTATCTGTCTATATATAAACAGCAAAAAAGAAGTTGTCTTACGGCTCTCGAGGTACATACAAGGTAGGCAGATATACAGGAAAAAATACGAAGAAAAAAAAATAATGATAAAAATAGCAAAAGATAGTTTCCTCTACCTCCTCCTTTACTTTCCTGACGCACACACGTATGTTGCAAAATCCGATTTTTTCGCGTTATTCAAAGTATGTGACTCGAGCCATAAGAGGACGGGTACGTAATATCCGTTCCGTTCGGCGCATGTGTGCTTGTAATATGTACACAGCAAGTTGTATGTACGCGAAACGATATGCGCGCGTGCTATCGCTTAAAAAAAAAGGCCATGGAAATCCTTGGCGTATCTTCGACGCTCCGGGAGTATTTTCCCCAATATCGGCGCCGAACTCGTATGTGTACACAATATATATTATGTGCGCGATCGGGTATACGCGCATGTGAGTGTCTGCTGCGGCTGCTGCTACTTTTTATGCACCGAAACGAAACGAAGAGAGAGTACGAAACAAGCTTTGCACATTAATTATTGCGCGAAGGGCAAAAATGGCTAAACAAGCACACATACTACAGCACAGTACAGGCAGCAGCAGCAGCAGCAGCTCTACAGCGGCAAAGTGAACGATTGCGTGAGTGCAACTAACTGACATCCTGCGCGCCGCACCTATCTTTCTGTCTTGAAAAAGCAGTCAGTCACTCTCGCGCGCGCTCGCAAACCCGCCGCCGCCGTCGTTACGTGCCTCTCTACCACGTGTGTGTCTCTACTCTGTGTACGTGAAACTCGAACACACAGACACACACACACAGAGACACGCACTCAGTCATTCAGCCCAGACGAATAGCTTATATCAACGTAATACCTGCCGCGCGCGTGCTGTATGTGTATGTGTGTCCGTATCTCTTTTGCTGCTGCTCCGCGTGTAGATATATATTACGCACCACGCATTAACCCGCGCGCACGCGGAACACACAGTCGGAGAGATAGCGAATATTTCTCTTTCGTAGCCTAGCTGCTATTTTTTTTTTGCCTACTATTTTCTTTTCTTTTTCTCCGACTCTTTACTTTACGAAGACGAATGACATGGCTTATGTACTTTGTCTAATTACATCGATACAAGAGTTAGTCGTCGTCGATGATCGGAATAGCTCGAGGATGACGAAACATCGGTACACTTAGGCTGGAACGTCAAGAGCAAGCCTCAAGAATAGCACGTGCGCACGCATACAGGCTCTTTATCGATGCAAAAAAAAATGCTTAAATACGCAACTTGTGTTCTACGAGGCATGTTCGTACGAACCGCTTGAAACGATCATTCGAATTTACTATGTACGCGGGTCCTTTTGGCGGGTGCCCCCCTGCGCGCATCGACGATTACATTCCCTTGCGTGGTTCTCTACGCATGTACGTGTGTCCCTTATGTAGTATGTACACGCGCGTCCATGAAAAATAGACGCAATCTACCGTGTGTGCAGCCTCTCGAGGGGACCGATTATTATTGTCGTCCAGTTGCGACCATCCTATAACTCTACGTTCGCCCCCGTTTTTTCTCCTCTTCATTCGCGTACAACATAGAATATCATATAGGCACAAGCGTGAAAAACGTGCACACCCATGAAGCGCGCGCGCGCGCGAGTCTGATTAAAGCATAATAGTCGGGCGAGATCAGATTTTCATTTTGGCTCCAGTCGCACACGTACGTACGTACGTATTATAAGCTCGCAGCAGCAGCGGCAGCAGATCGCGCCGTTCTACTTTCCAAAGGTACCACCTTCTTGAATTTATGCCTCTAATAGAAGGGGAGTATATGGTACAGCAGCAGGAGCAGTAGCAGTTATGGCAGTTAGGCGCCGCAGCGCTCACCAAGGACCGACCCACCCACGCGCCCGCGCGTGGATCGTAATAGATGTGCACAAAAGACGACTTTCGCATCCCTGACTTACACCCTCTGAGAGAGAGAGAGAGACCAATAGCAACGAGCTTATTTATATATAAGAGAGAAAATGCGTGAAAGGAGCGACTATAGTGGGAGGGGGAGAATATTGCCAAAACGATCGACCCTCGCTGTAGCACCATCGTACCGTGCGTCGTCGTCGTCGTCACACCCCAGGCATCGTTCAGTTCCTTCGTGTATTACGTCGTTTTTGCTCCGTGGCTCCTTTCGCCTGCTGCTACTACTTCTGTACGGAGGAGAGACTGCGATAATAATAACAATGATAATAAGGAGAATATCTACTTCTCGATCGAGGGTTCTTGGACTTGTTTTGCCCTTGTTTCGATGATGATTCAGCCCTCGTACAAATGCTCTCTCCTACATCTTCCTGTAGCTGATCATGTTTATAGAGCAAGCAATTTTTCTTCGATCTCGAAAATTTTTCTCGGAAATGTATTTTCTTACAAAAAATGTAATCATTTTAATAAATCTAATAAAAATTTTTTTTTTCTGTTGTAGGTAAGCATCAATGACACGAAAATTTGTTTTGTACATTCGCATTCCCTAAATGTATCACCGACGTCTGGTAAGTTCATTGCCAAAGCTGCCGTTTGGCTGATTGTTGACTTTTTCTGCAAAAATGGTTATAATTTTTTGGAAAAAATATGTAACTGTTACTCGTCGCTTTTATCATTGCTCGTTATTTATATGATTTTATTTCTGTCGCGGATGACCCAATGAGATTTTCAGATTATTTATCAGGATCAATGCAATGTCCGAATTCGATGATTTTTAAAAAAAGAAAATTTTGATTGCATAACTTCGTTTGACCCAATTCGAGGAAAATCCTATATATATTTCCTATATATATTTCGTCGGGCGAATTTTCAATTATAAACCATTTCATTTCGAGGTAATGAAACATTTCCCTCTTAATGAACCGTGTCGCGCTTACTGCTGCTCGCTTCGCTCGGCAATTTACAATATTGAACTCGGAGAGTCGAGAAATCACGTTTATCGCTAGATTTGATCTCTCTAGAGTCCGATTAAAAAGTGCATTTCGGATATCCTTGAAGGACTTTTTTTTTCGGGGCCCTGCAGGCAGGCAGGGGGTGCATAGTAGTACCAGCAGCAACTGCAGCAGGGTTAAACGGGGGAATATGCTTTTTTGTTCGAGCACTCCAGTGCACATGCATAGGTTATTAAGCTCTCGATTAAGCGTTCGTTTAGCGCTCGTAAAAGTAATCAAAAAGATTTTTCGTGCTTCCCAAACGAACAGAGAGCTGAAAGAGACGAAGGAATTGCATATACGTGCAGTTAATGAAACAAAACGCGCGCGCGCGGCAGGGCTTTTGTCGCCAACGGTGGCACATACGTTGTAAAGCACACGTTGTAATATGCATGCTTCAGCGCACCAAGCTGCTGCTGTTGCTGCACACATATGCATGCAATTCTCATTCTCTTTCATGCACAAAGAGAAAACGTATAACAGCAGCGCGCTAAAGAATCTTCCGAATGCGAGTGTACGCGCGCGAGAACGGCGAGAAAAAGGTCCTTCCGCATTTATTATGCATTTAAAAATATTATATACACGCTGTAGTGATCGCGAAGCTAGCTTCCAGAGCGTGCAGCATAAGTGCACAGCGCACACGTCGCGCGGAGCTCATAGAGAAACCTTTTAACAAATTATTAATACAATAATTGACCCGCAATTCGTAGAACTTTTCGCACAAGAACTCGCTGCAAGTGTCGCGCGCGGGACGATTCATTTATTTTTTAAGTGTACCGGCGCAGTCAGGCTGAGCAGTTCTGGTAACGACGTATAAAGCTTTTTTTAATGCATACATATGTATTCGCGACTGATGGAAAAAAAGCCTCGCGTTCCCTTCTTTTGTGTGACCCATTGAAATAAAATTTATTTTTTTCCCCCCCCCCCCTTTTTTTTTATTGAACTTGTCCAATTCGGCGGGTTATTACATTGATTATCGCAAATGTACGTGCTCCGAGTTTATAAATGATTTTACAACTACCCGCGTCGTTCGTCTCTTTCTCTCCTCGTTCTCTCTTTTTACCTCGTCTACTGCTGCCACTACTCTACCCATACTCGCTCGCGTTTCACTCACATTTGGCGGAACCGAATCCATATAATTTCATTAATTATTCGTGCAATTTCGCTGCCGCCGCCGCTGCTGCTGCACTGCTGCACCGACGCGCACAAAGCTATATAAGGGCGCGGCAGCGCGCGAGCTGTATAGAGACCGAAAATTCCTTTTCGGCCTTTTGAAATTTTCGCTGCCGCTGCTTGTGCTGCGCCTCGACGAGCGCAAAAGTTTTGCACACCTCCCCCTTTGCAGCTCTTGTGCTGTGTATGTGTGTGTTTGCGCGTGCTCTTAATTTTCGTGAACGCGCGAGGAGAGAGAGCGAGGTGAAAAATCGGATTAGAGCTTCTTTCAATAAGAGTGCCGCTGCCGGCTGCAAGTTTGACCTTTTTATGAAATATATAACCTAGGGACGAGAGAGAGAGAGAGAGAGAGAGAGAGAAGAGAGTTTTCTTGGGGTAGAAGTTTGACCGACAGGGTGACGTGCGCCTGGGCCCTGTTTGTCGCGCGATCGTATAAACTTTTTTTCTCGCCCTTATATTCTATATCGTCGCGCTTCGAGAAGAAATTCGCCGAGTGTTATATAGTTATATAGCACACACATTGACGGGAAAAGAAAAGCCGCGCGTGGGAGCAGTCGTCGAAAACTCGCATCGTCGTCTCGCAGACATCTGGGTCATAGCGTGTTGCCGCTCCTACTGCTGTGCGAGCGAAAATTTTTGGATCCCAGCCAGACGCACATACACACACACACACATACACATGCACACGCGCGTAGATTAATTGACTTCGACGCGTGGATTTTCTTTCTGTCAAGCCCGCTCGCTTGATGAAGGAGGAGAGCGCGTGTGAGAAAGAAAGGGAGGAGGTATACACCAAGGGTAAAATGAAAAAAGTTTCGGATACAATAAAAACGTCGAACAGAATCGTAGCTAGGAGCTTCGGTATTTTGAATACTCCATCTCTCTTGGACTGCGCGCGCGATTCGTCCACGGGAGAGAATATATATCGCCCGCTTAGAATGAACAGAAATAAAAAAAAAGCTCGCGTACATTTTTCAACGGTGGAATAGCGCAGCAGCAACACCTATACGTTGGGTATAGGCAGTTATTTCAATTGAATTCACGTTGAACGAGCTGCCGGCGAGAGAGAGAGAGAGAGAGAGAAAGAGACATTGTGTAGTCGGGATTTTCGGGGCCAATGGTGAAAAATAATGAAAGCGTAAAAAAAAATATCGTCGCTGCATCGGTGTCGACTACGGAATTCAACGCGGCTGAAATTTCTGCGCGCGCGCCTTTGTTTTTCTTTTTCTTCTCTTCGCCGCTGCCGGCTACCGCCACGATCATCCGGCTGAGAGAGATATTCAAGGTCAAAAAGCCACCGCGAATATGCAGTACGCATTTCTCTCTCGTTCTCTTTCTCTCTCTTTATTTTTGATGAGTCAACTCTGGGCCGGCCTGTCTGAGCAGCAGCACCAGTGCAGCGCATGAGTAGCCCGAAGAAATCTCCGCCCTTTTTTTGTTGCTTCTCTCGTTTTCCTTTCTCATTGCAGCGCGTATATAGCATATATAAGAAGCAAGTGCGAGAGAGAATGTCGTCTGGCGTGATTAAAAGGGCATGAGATAAATTATTTCATCCGTTACTATTTACGTCGTCGACTACTCGAGTGCAGTGCAGAGCAGAGCAGTGCAGCAGTGTGTGTAGCTATATAAGCTAACTGTACGCGTTATATATACTTATACTATAACGATATAAGCGCGTCGCGTCGCGATAAAAATGCCAACGTATAGAGTTTCATTGCAGTTTTTTGATCGAATGTACACACACACACAATGTGTGTGTGTATGTGTGCGTGTGCTAGTCTGTGGCTCAGTTTATATAAATGTAAGCGTATCGTATTGCCCGTACGTGCTTTTTTTTACTGGCCTATACTCGCTCGTTTTCTTTGGATATACGCGTCGTTGCTGTTTCGAGAACAAGTGCCGAATTCTTCCGAGCACTTTATTTTTATTTCATTTTATTTTATTCGCTGTACTTACTCTACTACTATCGGCCTCGAGAATGAATTCTCAAACTCTCGCTCCGTACTTACTAGCGAGCACGAGCTAAGCAAGCACACAATTCGTGCTCAACAGCCGGATTATTATTCGATGAAAAGTCGTTTAATTTCAAAGCCGCTGCAGCGAAGCTCATTTATTTTAAAGTAGTAAAAGATTGCGCCGGAGTTGCGGGATGTATACGCATACCTGTATATACCAAGGCTGCAGCAGCATCGAACGAGAGGCAGAGCAGCAGCAGTAGCGCGCCTTAACTACTACGACTAATCTTCTTGTGTACTAAATATTACTTCTATATACGCGGCTGCTTCTGCCGCTGCCGCTACAGCGTGTCTATGCTATGCGTACGCAGAGGAACCTAAATTGAATGTTCAAACTTAAAGAGGTGAAACACAGCGGCAGCTATAGTAACAGCGTAGGCAGAGAGAGAAGTTTTGTTTTTGCTCCAGTAGTATAAAATTATAAACGGGCCGCGCGCAGCGCATCGTGCGTTTGTGAATATTATAAGGCGCTTTAGTCGTCGTAGTCGAGCTGCACTGTGTGCCGGGCTCCGCTCCGTTGTGTATAACAATGATTAATTCGCCCCTACGTGTTGAGTCTTGGGGGCTTGCATTAGAAGACGCTGCTCACCTCCGAGACACACGAGCTTATGTTACTACAACGCAAAACTTTTGGCCCTTTGAATGCCGTTACTGCCGCCACTGCTGCTGCTGCTGCTGCTGCTGCTGCTGCCGTTGTTGTGTGAAACTGTGCTAACGAGCGCACAATATCGTTGGTTGTAAAATTCGGCCTCAAAAACAGGAGGGAAAAAAAGGACAACGGCACAGCTTAGCCAGAACACAGAGCCGCGCCAACAACTTGCAGGCGATCGAGAGACTTTTTTCGTCGCTGTTGTCGAGAGAGCTTATACGGCAGAATTCTAGAATAGAATAGAACGACGAACACAACGCAAAGGTTACAGCGTAAAAAAAGCCAACTATACAGTTTTACGAGCGAAAGTATCGCGCGCGCACACATTCTGTATAAGCTCCTAGCATGTGCTCCTTTTTTGGGTGGTATAGCTCACCGGGAGAGCTCCTGTGTAATTTTAATTAAGTTCGTTTTTTTTAAGCCCACCTAGATATAACACAGATATTCGCGTCAATCCCGGCACTGCCGCGACCACACGAGTCGAGCTGCTCTCGAAAATCAAAAAGAGGATTATTACCAGACTAGACCGCCGCGCGCGGGAATATTTTTTTCTGGTCTGTGCGGGCGAGGATTTGCGCGTATTTTTTTACATAAATAAGAAGGCAAGTCTGCGTCGAAGTTATTCGGATGTGTATAGCGTATAACTAGCGGAGCTCACGGTCAATTAGGAACTTCTCCGACTCTGCGGCTTTCTTTTTTCTCTCTCGTTTTTTTTTTTCTGAAGCTCTCGCTTCGGTCTC